CCCTAAGCCCTAAACCCCTTAACTCCCAAACCTCTAAATCCCTAAGCCTTGAAGCCCTAAACCCCTAAAGCCTTAACCCTAAACCCTAAACCCTAATTAACCCTATTGCAGGGATCCCAAAACCGACTCTGAGTTGAGGGAAGCAACTCTCAAGGGCACCCGCCGGTCAGCAGCATCTGCTTGATTCATGGCTTTCCTTGTTTAGGGCTTCGGTTTTAGGGTTTAGGGTTTAGGGGTTTAAGGGTTTAGGATTTAGGGTTCAGGGTTAAGGATTTAGGGTTCAGGCTTAAGGATTTAGGGTTTAGGGGTTTAGGGGTTGAGGGGTTTACGATTTAGCGTTTTGGGTTTAGGGGTTTAGGGTTTGGGGAGATGTCCACGCCAGTGAATGAAGGACATCTTGCACCACCTTGTATACCGTATACCCTATACCCCAGGAATTACAGCGTTTTGCGAATCTTAAGTGGTACAAGAATTCCTCCATCCACTGTATCTAGCCAGGTAGGCATACTACGAAACACTGGTGATATCCAGACTGGTAAGTGTAGGATGATATAGGATACTGCCTGGTTGCAAACTGCGGCTTTGCGCACCTAGGTATCTAGGTCTTTTCCAAGGTTAACCTTTGGGTATGTATGGCAGGTTTACACCACCAAAAACCGTTTTAAGTCTGCTTACTGGACAGGAAAGTTTCTCTGTTAGGACCATCCCAATGGAAAACTCATCCAAATCTGTGGTCTGGACGGCGCACACATTCCGCAGCAAGCAAAATAGGAGATACTTGGCCACATTGCACAGGCCGAAGCACAAGAAGATTTGCGGGTGTTCCTCCACGGAAACTTACCCTAAACCCTAAACCCTAAACCCTAAAGCAATGGATTTAAGCATATATGGGGCTCTCAAAATGGAGGTGCCCGAGGAGCCTTGGGGATATTTGGGGCTTATACATAACCGGCATTATGGGGGGTTTCTTCAGGGATTACAGAGGGATAACTTTGAAATAGCTCTTAGAACTCAAGGGATTACTTGAGCTTTCTGGACGAACTGATGAGCTGTCGTTTCTTGACACCTTTCGGACTTCACCCTCAAACCTACCTGCGCAAAAAATCCTCGCCGCACCCTAGACATGCACCCTTAGATGCTCGCGAGCTCCTATAGTCCTACAGGTAGGAAAATCCAGAAACCCTTAAACCCTATGGAACTTTACTATAGTAGTTTCCATTTTCTTTTCCATTCTCCCAGTATAACCCCAACCCCTATATACCCCCAATATATACCCTATTATACGAGAGTAGCTTCCATTTTCTTTTCCATTATCCCAGTATAACCCCAACCCCTATATACCCCCAATATATACCCCATTATACGAGAGTAGTTTCCATTTTCTTTTCAATTATCCCAACATTGCCCCAAATATAATAGGACGTTACCCGGTCATAGCTTGAGAGTTGCTGAACTAGTTGAACCCACCCCTCCTCTGGGAGCTTCCGTCCAGGGTTTAGGGGCTTAGGGTTTAGGGTTTAGGGGTTTAGGGGCTTAGGGTTTAGGGGTTTAGGGTTTAGGGGACTCACATGAAATCCTTTTTTTGCTTGCTATACTATAATCTCCTAGCCCCAAGGAGGGAACTACATAGGAGCTGCTTTGCAAATCCTAGGCTACTTAATCCTACACCCCAAGCCCTAGTCCCAAACTCAAGACCTGCTTGTGCAGGCTTTAAGGTTTATGGTCCTAGAATATGCGGTATATGGGGATCTTATTACAATGTATCCAAAGCCATATTCTATCTTCTTAAGGGGGACTATAGAGCGTAAGCTCCTCCACTGCAACTTGCACACGGTCCAAAGAGAAGAGGCAGAGGCATCCGATCGCCGCCGTAAGCTCCAAAACCCGGATCAGCGCCTGAACTCAGCGTGGGATTGTCAGGGTGTATAGTCCCCCTGAAGTAGATAGAATGTAGGGTATGTGGGGATCTTATTGTAATATAACCAAAGCCATATTCCGAGGTTGAGGGTTTTGGGATTCAAGTATCTGAATCGCATACACTTTGGGCCCAAAGAACTTCCTACATGAAATCTGTGTGATGGTTTCCTTAAACAGGGGGACCCCAATATAGACCCCCAAGTACTATTGTCCTTATGAATGGGACCCCCAAAAATGGTAACAGATTAGGGTTTCCCAAAATTAGGGGTACCATTTTGCGGATCCTTATAAAAAGGACTATAGTATATTGGGGTTCCCCTATTTTGGGAAACTACCAAGTACCTTTTTGACGCTTCCTGGAGTTTTTGTTAGGGCAGACCGAAAAAATGTCAAGGTGAAATCCCCCGTCTAGGAGTTCGTAGGAATGATAGGCTGCTGGGTGGGGTAAACCCTAAACCCTAAACCTATCCGAACCGAGGGAGGGGTTTCCCAAAGGCGCAACGCAATGACAAGAAAGGTATTCCTTGTAGTGAAGCTGCCCATACCCGTAAATACTGCAAGTACATAGGGTAGTTTCCCAAAATAGCGGGACCCCAATATAGACCCCAAAATATTATAATCCTTATTAGTGGGGGCCCCAAAAAATTACCCCTAATTTTGGGAAACCTCGATGTATGTACTTTCGGGGTGGTTGGACGTTTAGGGAAGCTGAGTTTTTTGGATTCCTGTGGACTTTGGGGGTTTCAGGGTTGATGAAAGGTAAACAGTTTTAGGGTCTATAGGGTCCATGGAGATGAGACATTAAACAATGCCATAGGAGGCTTGGGATTCTACAGGATATAAAGAGGTTCCTAAACCCTAGACCCTAAACCCTAAACCTTTAGGGTCTTGGGAGCTTATACCCTACAAGCCTAAACCCACAAGATCTTGGTCCAAGGCGCTTGCCGGCCAGCATTTGTAGAGAGCATAGCGTCACTTCCTGGGAGCTTCTCAAACTGATCCCTTTAGGTTTATGGATATAGGAGTGTCCAATCATGGGCATATAGGGGTATATAATAAATAATAACCCCAATAATGGTTATATACCATAACTTCAGGATAAGAGTTGTTGGTCCTAAAAACTCCTGATAATTCCTACATCTCGTGGCATCCCTTGGGATATGGTAGTTTCCCAACAAAAGGGGGACCCCAACATAGACCCGAAAATACTGTAAATCTTCTTTTGGGGACTCCTAAAATGGTACCCCTAATTTTGGGAAACCCCTATATTTGTATTTTGAGAAGCCCACTCCTGCTAGCAACATAGGTTCAAAGGCGCCAATGGTGTTGGGCACCGCGAAATGCAGCTTCTTATTGTTGCCTGTGCTGTAACGGACGAGAGCTGCTTGCACCAGCACGTCCAGAAGCCATAGCAGCACACCACTGCATCTCTTGCCGAAGAAAATCCCATGGCTGTCCCGGATCATCTGAAACAACGGGAAGAAGAGAACCTGGCTAATGACCTCCGTTAACCGGTACACGACTACCAAGATGAACGGAAGTGATGACCAATCAGCCAGCCCAACCACAATGGCTTGTCCATCAATATCGCGGGATACATGACCATGCTTGTCCAACTTGGCAAAAGACTTGGAGATAGAGCCAATGCTAAAGGCAAGGGAGACAATGGTGAGTCGGTTCCAGCTAATCGTGTGCTGCAGGAGGGCGTAGGACTGCAAAAAAGTGCTGAGTAAGGCCTGTCACGGATTCAGGGTTGCACGAATAGAGCCCTCAGAAAAAACAATCGGGTGCCCTGGGATTCCTGAAAAAGGTCCTTAAAACCCAACCGTACAAGGCCAGGTGTACAACCCTTGAGCCTCAGTGAAAGCCTCACCCACAATCGCACGGGCTAAGAGCCTCTCGCAGCCCTCATCGCGCAAGTAGCCCTCCAATGACTTGTACCTGGAAAATGCAAGCTGCGTGTGTGTAGTATAGAGACGCGGGGTCCTAGGGTTCTAAACACGAATTTCTGCAGGAATATCGGGGCAGTTCTCAAAACCACAGCCACCTTATGTCGACTCAAAACCCGCGTTCACAAAGCGAACCCCAGAGACCTACCAGTAACTTCAGACACCGCTTCCTGGGGTCGGTCCCGCTGGAATCCACAGCTGCGATGAAGAGACCGAAAGATTGCACCGTAATCGCCAAAGGCGTTAGCTGCAAAAAGATCATCACTGTCAGCAGTAGGCTTTCTCGGGAAAAGTCGTGCACGCCATTCACCACGGAAGAGAAGGAGCCAGCTATGATGGCCATGGTGTTCAAGATTGCGTAGGTCGGCTTTCCTGCTAGCCAGAACCGGTGTATCCTGGGTTGTTCCTTAACCCTATATATCCCTATATACCCCTATATATCTACGCCCTATATACAATCATTATTATCGTACGTTAAGTTAAGTTCCTTAACAGCAACCCAGTATCATCAAGATGTCACTGACCAGGTCGCCATAGAAGACGAAGACTGGAAAGAGGAACCTAGACTCAGCAGGATCCCTACGAGCCCTCCATGAAGTCCCATATCAGCTATAGTTTGGTTTAGGGTTTAGGGTTTAGGGATGAGCTGTAGTCTAAACTCCCAGTATCCCCCTTAATAATGGAGAATCATATGGAAAAGACAATGGAAAATGAAACGGAAACTGGGATTATGCAGGGGATTCTGTGGGTTATAGTCTAAACTCCTAGTATCCCCCTTAATAGCCCCTACAATTGGAATCCAAAACAATCACCTATATTATTGCCCCCTTTAAGGAGTTGAGACTAAAGCTCGTATATGACTCTGTACTATGCAAGCCACCAAACTCAATACTACTCACAGAAGAGGAACATGGCTAAACATACTGCCCGAAACCCTAAACATATAAACCCTAAGCAACCCTAAACCCTAAACAGAGGAACATGGCTAAGACCTTGATCTTGCCAATGCTGTCTTTCAAAGACTGCTGGGTTGAACGTTTGGCGGAGAATCGAGGACTGGCCATTCCTTAGGCCCTCTTCTCCTTTAGGGTTTAGGGGTTTAGGGTTCAGGGTTTAGGCACTTGTGATATACCACCTCAACAGGAACTACATATCTGCCCTGAAAGGGGAGCAAAACTGGCTCCTCTTTGTAATTGAACATACTATTATCACTCTTATTCCTCTTGTAGTTGAACGTCGAACCCTAAACCTTAACCGCAAGCAAGCCCAACCAAGAGAAAGAAAGGATTCGTAACCTCGACCCAGGATTCCTGCCAGAAGCGTCAGCAGGCCAGCAACGGCAAGAGCCAGCCTAGAATAGAGTTTAGGGTTTAGGGCTGAGGGTTTACGGATATTCCCCCAATAATAGAGAATCGGATGAAAAAATGGCAAACCAAAGGGAAACTGTGACTTCTTTAAGGGTTGTATTACCTCCCTTGAGTTAGCAGGGAGTGGAGGAATGGAAAAGAAAATGGCAAACTCCATGATGTTGGGGGTTATATACGGGACCTTCATTCCCTGCTAGCCAGACGTAAGAGAAAGAGTCGCGTGTTCAAACGTGTGCTTGTCGGGCTTAGTATATACAGTTTCTTCTCAGGGTGGTATACTCTTTCTACTGAGAAAATTATTCCCCACCCTCACAGTGGGG